TAAATAATAGGCTAACATATACATAGACTACTGTGATGGTGTGACCAACCTATTAGCAGCTGCTTTATAAAATACGCGCATTTTGATAGCATGTATAGCGTTCACAGCTTAAGTAAAACTCGTTCTCACAACGTTTAAAGAAAGATCAATGAATTTAATGGATGAGAGGCCCACATTTTTTGTTTCCTGCCGTTGCACATATACATTTTAATTCGCCGCCAATAAAACCCCGGTTGCTTTTTTTAGCTGTGCGTGCGGTATGTCGTAAAAGTTAATCATAAATGCAATTTTGGTGCTCAATTTAATAATGGAAAAATTACAGTTAAAGTTATGCTACCATGTAAATTATTCGCACGGATTCAATAAATAATTAGAATTTTTCGTGTTCCTGTTCCATGTTCCTATTCGTTGTGTATCCTGCAAGTGTTTCGAGAGTACCCTTGATGCAGACCGCAGGCACACTAATATTTTTGAAGCACTCACTTCGTTATCTTGACTGTATTGTTTTGTAATAGGCGATTACTATTTTTCATTTTATGAATTAAAATTAATATTAATTGGCCATGTTGAGATCGAGAATTTCTTGCACATTTGCCACTCGGAGATGGATGTCATACTTCTCAACAGAATTCAACGCGCTGGCGAATGAGGGACCAGCCAAGTTCCCACACCTTTTACCTCAGGGCAGTCAGCATGCTGTCGCTGCAACAAATATAGATTTGGATCTGTTTGTAAATGCGGATAATCGGCAACTAGACCTGGTGGACAGGCTGCTTAAGCTTAGGTAAGTTTCAATTCTTTAGTCAGTACCCAAACCAATATACGAACACTTACAGAAAGCAAAAAGAATGCAGCTTTGTGCCGCTTTTGCCGGGTCTGCTGGTGAAACAGTTACTCGACTCCACAAATCCCCAGGAGGCAATCACGGTTCTGCGCAGTCCCAGTCAATATGGGCTGTTTATTGACCAGTTCTCCGGCTGTTTCTTAATGGACGTATTGTTGCACAGCGGGAACACCCTGGAAGCAGCACAGATTGCGGCTCTTCTTGTGGACAGAGGCTTATGCAACAACGAGCTGGTCGAGGCGTTGGCCCTCCAATCGTTCTTCAAGTTCGTGAAAGACTTCAAACCTGTGGAATCGTCGGACAGTAAACCAGCAGCATCACCTGCCCCCGAAGTGGTAAACTGAAATATTTTACTCTGAATGCTTTCAACGAACTGACCTTAAATACATTTCCAGGAGAAAGTTCGTGTTAAGTTTGTTCGCAACGTTGTTGAAGAGACCAGCAAGGAGACGGAAGAAGCAGCTCTTGGCCGCGCTATGATTGAAATGGGCTCTGGCGAAGGCACTCTGAAAGAGCTGAAACAAAACATTGCCCTTATCGGCTTTGTATTGAGCGGGAGATTACCTGAAGCTGTGAGTCTCCTGGCCCAAAACCGCGAAGCTTACCACAAGGAGACTCTCACCGCATGCCAAAGTTTGGCTGATAGCCTGAAGCTGGAGGTGTCGGACGAGTTTACGCAGTCGTTGCAGCAAACGCTCGATAAGTGCACGCAGAACAGCGCCATTCACGACAAATTGGAGAGCAGTGTCAGAAGCAGTGCGCAAAAGTTCGAGCCGAAACTCTTGGCGGAATATGGGCAGTCCTATCAAGCGTGGACCAAGCAGTTTGAGAACGCTGTGAAGCAGTTTATCGATGAGCAGAGCCTGGTGGAACGCAAGCAAAGCATTGAGAAGACGCTGCGCGAACTGGAAGCGAAGCGTCAGAACCTTTGGTTCTTTGAGAACAAGGATGACATCGACATTCAGATATACAAGAAAAAGGTGAAGTATCCACAGCGTTGGTTTGGCAAGAAAAAGACGCCAAAGGCAGCGGACACGTTCTACGTGCCGCCGAGCGTCACCAGATCCGCCAACTGAGTCGAAGCCACGTCGTAGCCCATGCCTGAGGTAAAAACAAAGCAAATCCAATTGTTTTTAAGCTTTAATTAAACTACTGGAGAATCAATCCAAATTCAAATGTTGTTTCTTTTCTCGAACGTTAAATTTTTTTAAAATTACCATAACGTAACATTGAGGGTCACAGTTATATATTCATTCCATCTCAGTTTACAACATTTTTTTTAGTGTGTTTTTTTTTCTTTTTTTGTAATTTTTCTTTTGGAGTTTTTCATAAATGTTCATTCTTAGAAGCTAATCGTCTGTCATTTGTGTTGCATTGCCGAAGGCAGATTAGTTTTTAAAACTCTCTGCCCTGGTGCAGATGGAGATAGGTTAATGGGCGATGGTAGGTCATGCCGCTTGTCCTGTATGGTTAGGGGTAAGAATTGTTGTTGCTTCTTTTTTCGGTTCATGTTTATGGGGTGCGTATTGTCGTTCTTTCCAAACAGAATGGTCAAGTGAACTGCGCAGAAGATCCCTAAGCTCTGTAAGCAAAAAGTGTAATTGAATGCTGAAGAGAAGAGAGATGTGCGTCTCACCTGAAATATAGCTATAATGGCAGCCCCAAATGCGGTTATGAGCAAGCGATTCTTGATTTGCTCCGATACAACGGCCAAACATCCGCGCTTGTAGTGGGTATCGCAAGCGGATTCGTAGGCATGCTCCGGACGTGAGCAACAGGACCAGGGCAGCGAGAGTCGACGATAATCAAGAGGACCATCAACGCCGCAGCATTGTAGCTGTAGAAATCAGTAGCGTAATGGAATTAAATGATAATATAAATTATCTATAGACTCACCTGCGACTGCATCCTGTTCCACAAATGCAAGTTGTCAACTTTGGTACGCGAGAATTTGTCCAGGAACTCCACAAACGAATCGTCAATGAAAATCTCCACCGAAGTGGGAAGGTTCTCCCGCATAGCCAAGGACCAGCCGCAGATAATGAATTGAATACAAATGCAAGCCACCAGAAGAGCGGAAAACTGTGAATAAACGAAGTTCAAACATAATCCATAATTAACTACAATATTTTGATAGCAATTACCATTCCGAGTAGGCAGCGCTTCCTTTGGTTCGTAGCCTGGCATCCCATCCAGCAGAGGATGAAGGTCACAGGTCCCAAGCATAGGAGGATCGCGGCTGGTGCCCACAGCTTGTTCTGCACAATTCCATAATACACCGAGTGCCCCCACAGCAGGGATGTGCCCAAAAATATCTGCGCGGCTCCAGTTAGCTGCAACACAAAAGGATCAAGGTTTACATTTGAAGGAGTCATTTGAGCAGATGTAAGTGGCCGTTAATCACAATGTCCTTGCAGATTTGGGATGCTCTGCTTTTGGGGGGCTCCTAATTCCTTTTGACGTCATGCGAAGTGCTATGTGCATAAGCTGCTCATGTACATACATACATACATATAAGCATATGTAGGCGCAGCTTTTAACTAGCTCAAGGTCACTACGACTCGGGACTCAATATACTATATACGAGCATGTATTCAAGGATAAAAATGTGTACATATCCCCCCTTGATTCGCACTACACCATGCCATGCGTGTAAGTATGTACATATGTATGCATGTATTTATGTATGTAGAGAACGCTGCACAGATTGGAGGACGCATTAGCAAACACAAGAAGTTTTTACATACATTGTGCAGTCAGGGTTGTCTGCGACGTGTACACGTTGTACATACATATTTACATCATTTGATGCACAGATTTGCATAGTTTAAGCAACATGAAATGAAGTTGAACAATGATAGAACCAAAATGATGTGCCAATGCTCCCCAAAATTGATTTAATTTTCCATGCAATTACAAACATACATATATGTATGTGCGTATGTACACCGTTATCGGACGCACACACATGCCATAGCATTGCATTTTCCTTATGTAACTCTACAAAGCTCTAATTATGTATGCTCTCTCTCGCTCTCCCATTTGGAGCGAGGAGAATATGGGCCAAACTTACCGCTAGGAGAAATACATAACTGTAAACCAAATATTTAAAACATTTAATTTTCTTTGGCAACGCCATTGTTGTTGTCCTTCGCGAGTCTTCGAATCTTCGAGTGCTCTCCGTTGAATATCTCGCTGCTTGCATTCACTGAAGTTTATTATAAATTATATTAAGTCGTCTCTTAGCATTCGCGTGTGTGTACGTGTGTTTTCTGACTATGTGTGTGTGTGTTGGCGTGTTGCAGCTTCACTTTTCGCTTGCACGGATGTATGGTTCTACGGTTGTACGGTTGTGTGCGTGTGTGTGTGTCGATGTTGTGGGCCTATATTTTGTTTGGACTGAAGTTATGCTGTCGTTGTAAGTTAGCCTTCGCTTGAATCTGATGCAGTGTTCATCACATCACATCACATCACTTATCATCACTGAACGTTGTTGCTGTTGGTCGCGGTTGTCGGGACATCCACATTTTGCCAGGCCAGGTCCAGGTAAAGGTTCAACTTCACAGATGCAATTTTTAACTAAAAATAACAGTTTGCGTTAACTCCGAACCACTCAGATCGGTCGCAGTCGAAAATACGCATTTGACGGTCTGACCATTTCGTTCCTTGTTTTGTTATACTTCTGCGCCAACAGTGGTAATATTATCTATAACCGTCGAATAACCGTTGGCTAGCGCGAAACTTTATCACGAGTACTTTTAAGCCAGTCACAAGTCACATGTTCGTGTAAACTACATTTATACTATTTTACTTAAATTTATGGTGAATTTCGTACTGATCTAGCTTCGTTTGAGGGAAATATGAATATTTATACTGTGGACATATATTAGGATATATATTTATGGCAAATGAAGCAATTTAGACAATTATTTCCAATCATTTGAACATTGCGCACAGTTATCTACATGGTTTTAACATATTTCGATAACATGTAAAATAATTTGAAGTGTTCGATTACACAAGTTTATTTTCGGCGCCACACTACGTTCTATCAGAAATTTTTGAAACTTCAAAAATAATTGCAGTGTCAAGTTTTAGACAATTCCAATTAACGCAGAAACAAAGCAGTAATAGGTTCAACATAATATATATTTCTTAAATTTGCTTGTAAAATATAGACAAAACTGAAATGCTTTTCTGATTTTATTACGATCTTGCGAATTTTTACTGTACTATTTACACACTTTATTGGCGATTTTAGGAGGGAATATGTAAAATCTTAACATGAAAGAGTGTATAAAAATTATTCAAATATTGTATGTGTAGGTAGGGTGGAAGGTGTAAATGGAGGAGTTTCATGTAAGACGACGGGGGTAGAAAATAAAATAGAAATTACAATACCATTTGTATACAAATATGCTTAGAAATTAAGTGTTCCATTTATGGATGGACCAGCCGTTTTACAAAAAGTGGATAGCGGACAAGGGGGTTCTGTTTGCAAGTCAAAAACAATTTTAAAAGAGACAACAAATTGTTTGGCCGCTCTCTCTCTCTTTCCCTCATCGGGGCTTGGATCCGCCCCAGCCCACATCTCTGGCTGTGTGTTTTTACCGTACCGTTAATGCTTACGGTATAGTGAAGATCGTGAATCCAGTCAAGCAGTCACGTGAATGTTGTTGTTGTGTAAGCTTACGATTTAAATGTACATTTTACATATGGTATTTATACAAATAAGTAATTAAATCTGTTACTTGTTACTGTTACTGTTTACCGTATGTTTGTTTGTTTGTATACAATATACATATATATAAAATTCAGGTCTCTTTGCAAGTATTGGATTGGATTGGCTTGGCGGCCAACTCAAAGATCGGTTAGGTTATTCGCGAAGATTCTTGGTCAGCAGCAGGTTGTTGTGGTGGCCGGAGAGATGCCGTACCAGCTCCTGAACCGACTCAAAGCACATCGAGCAGAAGCAACAGCTGTAGCGATTCTCCGTATCCGTGCCATTGGTGGTGGTTATGATGTTCCGATGCACCGAACACAGGTGCTTGAGTAGGTGGGCTTTCTGCTTGAACATGGCCACGCAGAGGCGGCAGGCAAAGGGCTTCTCGCCCGTGTGGACGCGCAGATGGGTCTTGAGGTTCCAGGACATGCCAAACTGTTTGCCGCAGTACTCGCAGCGGTACTCCCGCACCGACGACGAGTGTGGGTTGCTGCTGGCTATGTTCGAACCGGAGGCGGAGCTGCTGCGACCCTCCGGGTCCAGCCCCAGATTCATGTGGGACAGACTAGAGAGTCGCGACTGCAGATTGGGCATTGCGGAAATCGCAGCATTCTGATTCGACTGCCACTGGTACACGAACTGGGGCCCCAAATGCATGGGCATGTCCGGGCTCTGTGCACGATTCCTCTGCGATTCGAGTAGCTTTCGGTCCGGCGTCATGGTGTCCCCGTTGAGTGCCCCATCCTCCAGATGGGCGAGCATATTCTTTTCCGAGCCAAATCCAGATATGGGCGATGTCGTCGACTTGACCAGCCGCAGTTCCTCCAGCAGGTTATGTTGATACGAGGTGAATGGCTGATTGTCGCTCTGAGTGTTGTGAAAGCCAGGTCGTCTTTTTCGATGGGGCGTAACCACGTAGTTCTCCGGCGAGCTGTTAATGTCAGACCCATCGGACAACGGCTTCAGCACATCCTTGTGGGATTCGAAGAACAATCCCTTTCGCTTTGTGCTTTCGCTCGCGTTGACTGCCAGGTCGATGCCGCCGCTGTGATCCGATCCGGAGCCGATGGTTCTGCTGGCGTCACTGCGGGCCGAGTTCTCGCTTTTCGTCCGGAGGTCAAGTGAAAGGTTTACTGGATTTATAGCAGAATTGTTGTTGTTATTATTGTTGTTGTTGTTACTGCTGTTGCTGTTGGTGTTGCTGTGATTGCTGTGGCTGCTGACGCCACTCGGTGGCGCGTTGGAGAGATTTACGATTTCATCCGTGTCTTTGTCGCTTTTGTTGTCCTTGTGCATGCAGTCGTCGTCCTCCTCCTTGGCCACCTCCCCGCTCCCGCATTCGGGAGCACTCTCACAGTGCTCAGCCGAGCAGGCGGAAAAGTCGGCCGCATTCCTAGACTCGTCCACACTGTCGACCTCATACTTGAGTGTCTGGTCGAGGTTCTGCGAGGATGAGTACTGCTTCCGCGATCTCTCGCGTATGCTCCCACACTTGCTGTTCAGATAGGCAGAGTCCGTGGTCTTCCAGCTGTCGGACTTGATCTGCAGCAGCAGCAGCAGATCGTGCAGGTAGTTCACGTCGCGCGAGGTGATGCACGTCTGTCCGGAGTACAGAAAGTCCAGCAGGAATTTAAAGTAGGTGGCATTGACGTCCGGAAAGTAGACGGTGGTCGAGCAGTCGCTCAGGTGAGTGTCCTCCAACAGGTTTCTATAAAAAAAACCAAACCAATTACCATCTGTTGACCATCCAAAGCGACCCAAAACGAAACCCAAATCGGAAAGGAAAGGCTTACCTTATGAGGGGACTGGCGGCGGCCAGCACCAGTTTGTGGGCATGCAGCTTCACTTTGTTCTCGCAGACGATTGTGAGGTCCGCCGGGTGCTCTCCCCGGAACGCTGCTCCGATTTCCTTGAGTATGCACTCGCCATGCTTGCTGTATTGCAACATCAACATTCTCTGAAACTGCAAAAGGGAAGTGCAGACATGAGTGGGGGATCTCGGATTCTGCGCATTAGCACTACAAATATTATGTTTCAAAGAATGCAAGTTTCAAATCGAATCACAGAGACAATTCCACATATTTGTATCTATCTGTACTCCACTATATGTTAACCTTCCAGTGCAGGGCATGCAGTAAACTGTGAAGACAGCAAAATAGAAAGTTTTGGAATGGAAAATGTCTGCATCTGGCGCTGTCTCGCTGTCGCTGTCTCTCTGTCCCTGGCGGGTATTACACAATCTCTGAGCATTAAGCCGCCTTTCACCGAAAGTGCTTCTCTTCCCCTCTCCCTATGACTATATTTCACGATTGTGTCATGCAGACGGCTCTCACACACAGCAGTCTGGCACACCTACATACATAGTACATATACACATCGCTCGCGTATCTGTGAGTTAGAAAAAGGATCTTGAAGCATTCGAAACTGAGCTTTCAGCGTAACGGAGAAATTATCATACATACAAATACAAACACATTGAATGGCATTAAGAAATGGAAATTACAAAGCATTTAGTAAATGTTTACTAATCAGGTTTTTTGGTTTTTCTCTACTCTTTGTTTTTATATTGCTGCACAACCCACACAAACACACACACACATGCGAACAGCCATTACCTTCAGACATACAGGCAAAGCATTGTTGCTGGAAAAGATGAAAGCTCCACTTCATAGAGCAGCCCCCAACAACAATCGCAGTTGCTCAAGAAACGCTCGCTATGCTGCTTCTGCCACTACCTCTCTCTTTCTCTCTCTATCTCTCTCTCTCTGACTGCGCGACTGCGCAAAAAAGCTTTCCCCTTTCGAAGTTGTTGTTGCTGCTGGCAGCTTGCTGTTGCGTTGCGTTGGTGTTGGATTCGAGTTTGGCGCGAAGGCAACGGCGAATGAATACGATGAAATTGTTACACTGAAATTCGCTGGCCTGTGAGACTGTATCTGTGCAACAGCCATGCACACTCGCTCACTTTATGGGGCCGTTACTGTGTTGTGCAAGACCATGGCTTGTAAGCTCTCTTGTCTGTGTGTATCTGCATGGCCCCCACACACACGCACACACTCAACAGAGCTAAAGTTCAGCAGCAGCAGCAACAGCAGCAGATCTGAAAACTTCGAAAAGATAGTCTTGCTTTTTGTTACGCTCTGCTGCGTCGCTGCTTTTGCCTCTGCTTCGCTGGGAGACGAAACGTTCACTTTCAATAAAACTTGAATAAAACTGGCTTGGCGCAGCACCAAGAGAATGGGGAGAATGGCTTCCCCTCGCGGACGCTCCACTCCACATCGTAGCTGTGTTATTTCTCATGGGAAGCGAAAGCTGAAAGAGCACGAACGTTTGTGGAAGAGATTGAGGGGTCGCAAGAGGATGGGGATTTCAAGCTTGTTCTAACGTTGGGCAAGTCCGAAACGGTGCTAATGGAAAAACTGAATACTGGATTCCATTCCTTTCCTCCCAGCAGTCGCCATGGCCATTCCATTCATTCCCTTTCTAAAAATGCTTTCAGATTTCGCAATCGGAAATGTACATACAACCACACGCGCACAATAACTGGCTTTCATAAATGCATACACTGGGCTACGAAAGTCTGCGGCCACTCACTGGAGTTCTTTACACATTGAACACCATTTATGCCATAATTTTTTCCTCTTTCTTTCACACTTTCATTAAATGCGATCATAAAATATCCAAAGCGAGTTGTGGTATTTCGACATTTTTCTCCTTTTTGGACGCAGACTGGTTGGTGAGGGGTGTACAACATACATTCATACAACTCGAAATGAGAATGAAAGGGACAAAGCAGAGATGATCGAGCGCAAAAGTGAGACAAAACAAAACACGCTAACTCAAAAAACAACGCGCATAAAAATCACTTTTCACAAAGAGCTTTTCTTTTTCTCTGTGCTCTGCTGTATGTGTGTCTGTGTGAATTGGTAAGCAAGAGCTAAACAAAACGAACACATTCACACACCGCATACAAAATTACATGCATATAGAGATCGTACATACATACATTCATACATAAATTTTGTGCTCTATACTTTCCGATTTTTGTAGTCGTCATCGTTTCAATGTAATGTAATGTTTTTCAATTACTCTTTCTTCTATGTGAGTGAGAGTATATATGCGTATACAGAGAGTATGCAGATTGTGAGTGTATAAAGCACATGTCATGTCTGGTTCAGATCGAAGTCGAAGAGAACGGGGGCCACAAAAGAGAAAGCGCATTCGAAATATTTTGAAAGTTGTATGAGCGCTTATAAAAAGGGAGCGGATCGGTGTGGAGAGAGGGCTAAACTTGTTTCTACACCAACACACTCGCACTCGCACTCTCGACTCAGAGCTGTACTCTTTCCCCTTTCACGAAAGCTCTCTGGCCGCCGCAGAAAATGGCAAAGAGTCGTCGACGCCACGCCATTGTACTTGCTGTAAATGCTACACTCGTAAAAGTGACCCAAATTTGAATTACATAACTTATGAGGCGGACGATACACATGGTGGGAAGATACGATAGTACTTTTGGGCATATTGAGCAGGCTCTACAAGAAAAAGATAAATACATACATGTAGCATGTTTGTTGAATTTCTCCATTTCCCCTTTCAGCAAGATAGTTTTCGATAGTAGAATGTTCAAAGCTTTCGTCACATATTAATATACATATCCCTCCCCTCTTTATACATACATACTAATAATGTATGTACATGAGTGCAGCCACAAACCAACAGACAGACGTGTGTATATATGTACATACTTGTAAGTATGAAAGTGTGCATGTACCTACAGCATATTTTGTAACATCTGCGCGATCGGCCTGTAATTGTGGGCTTGCGTGCTGGCTATGTGTGTGTGTGTGTGTGTGCGCATTTGCTTTTGGTGTGGTGTGCTTTTTCACCTTCACTCTTATTGGAAAGCAGTTCAGTTAGTCGTCAACAACTACTATTATATACAGATTATATCTGTACATGGCTATGAATGTGTGTGCGAGTGTCTTCAAATTTCATGTCATGCATACAAAACATACAAACACACAGAGACAGAAATATTACGCAGACAAAAGCACGCCATGAAGGTCACTAAGCCTTTCTTGTCTTTTGGTTGGCTGCGCTTTGTGGCCGTTGCTTTTGCTTTTGCTTTAGCTGTTGTTGCTGCCCTGTTAATGATGATCACGATGACGAAGATTGGATCGCCACGAACGTTCGCTATATCGGAACTTCGTTCAGGCCCAACTTTGGCTTTAAGCTTGGTCTGGTCTGGCTTTGGAATGTTTTTCTCTGCGACTATTAAGTTAGTGTTTGACCTTGGTAGCTGTGTGTTTTTCGTATGTTTAGGTGCATATAGACACGCGTACGATCGCACAAGTTTGGGTTTTTCGTTTCGTTAAAGATGTTGCAATGCCAGCCATGGAAAAGTTTCTAGCTCATGGAACCAAACCCTCACCATGTTAGTACGAGTAAAAAATGTACAGAAAAGCTTACCTCTTTCATTAGCAATTGGTCGAATATTGTTTAATCCTTTGCACTAAACTACGATTCAATGGATATGCTGCTCCTCGATCAGTACAAGGAGTTCGTGTGTATGTGCGTCGTGGGCCTTTGCACATGTGTGCGTCCAAGTCGAGCTTTCCCCTTTCACAATCTCTTTTGGCCACAGCAGCTCCGATGTGCAAAGAATGCAAGAGTGTGAGTGTTGAGTATGAATGTGTGTGAGGGATACACACACGCGACGCGTTCTATTCCGTTGGCTGATCTTCTCACCCACAACAACTTTCAATTTCGATTTCAACACCAACACCCAGCTTTCGTGTGTATGTGTATGCAGTTGGTGATCTTCGAGGGCGGGGGAACACGACTTTTGGTGGTACTATTATTCATATTTTTAAAAACACATAAAGCTTTATTCGGTCACTATATTGGCCACTCAACGCGGACTTTAATTGTATTCAATTTCTCTTTTGTTTTTCCTGCTTGCACATCTTCTTCTTCTGCGACGCAGCGATCAACTCAACACAAGCACATGCACAGCACACTCACGAAACGGTCACCACGACAGCGACATTAACTTTAACTAGGTTGAAGTTTTGTTTCTTTTTTCCGTGCTTGTTTTATTGCGAAATAAAAAACTTGATTGGTAAAACTTTTTCTGGCGGGCGAGCGAAGCGAAGCGAGTGTAAGAGATCTCTCTCTCTCTCCCTCTCTTTCGAATTTGTTTCCTAGGCGCGCGCGCTTTTTGAATTGTTGCCTCGGCGGGCGAGTTAACACTGCCTATTACAAACATTCACAATATTACAAACTTGCCCGTTCACAATATGACAAGAAATTCCAGTTCACAATGGGGCAAGAGATCGATAACTTCGCACAAAATTATCGAGTTCTCACATCAGGGTCCTATATTTTGTTCGTTTCACAATTTTGTGGCCTGGGTTACAAGCCGCTGATAAATTGCTTTAATTTTCCGTTACATTTTGAAATTATCGATCATCGAATGGATTAGTAGATTAATAAACTAGAATATGGCATCGCTAACTAAAAATGTTGCTTACGCCAAATATGCGCAAAGGGCTTAGCAACAAACTTAGCAAGGCCGGGAGCAACAAGTAATTTGTATAAGTAAAATGAATTTGTAGCATTAAGACATACTCAAAGAAGATTGTTCCTATAGAACATATATGTAATATGTGAATATCGATAGAGAAAGAGGAAAAACATGCATGTAATATGTGAATATCGAAATTGAAAGAACAAGATTATTAAATTGATTGAATTCCGACTCCCGACTCGGTCGAGCCCGCAGCACTTGGCTTTTTACTTCTAGATTTTGATTCCGAACTGGTTGCGAATAGTTGCGGAAACAGATTAGATTAGCTATAAACTTAAATATGGCACATGAAGTATGGAAAAACCAATTATTCAATTATGAATTAATTCATTAATTTTAAAAGTATTATATATCAGCTAGGATTTGATGCTATGATCAGCAAGTGTTATATCCATTTTCGAATCTAATTTTATATACATTTTTTTTATTTCAACCAGAATCCTTTATATGTGTATGGATATTTATATTCTCTAGCTTAAGGTCCCATTTTATATTGCAATGTCCATGAAAATGATTAGTTCCTAGTGAGCGGTCTTTCATATGGCCTTGATCACCAATAAGTTTTGGATAATTTCCCTATTTGTTTTCTTTGTGAGAATGGTACGCCCACATTTGCATTTTCTACCCTTTCACAGTTTAGGGCACAATTAGACATGTCCTTGAACCAAATCTATTTAGATGAAAATGGATGGCATATACACACATATGTACATGCATACATACCCAAATGAGTTCATGAAAGAGTATGCAAATACAGAATAGATGGTGATTGCAGGTAGGCGCGATAGTTCAATAAACAAGCAGAGCCGTCAATACATAATTTAAACTAGCCAATAGTAGATTTAGGCACTTTGGCATTTTAAGATCGAAATAGTACAAATATTACCCCAGTTACCCTATCAAAGATCAGTCTAATCGAATGGCTACAGCTTTACCTGCAGAAACTAATTTACATTCAGCTGCCATCGACAGAACAGACGCATCCTTTAGGTGGCACTGCATAAATTCTTTACCCTAAGTTTCAAGGACACTAACAATTGTTCTCCTTAATGGGAAAGGGTAGAGAGAGTAGATGTGAACTCGTAGGTGGCGTGCGCATCTCGCATCGGCCATTTGAGGATAATAAACAACACATTTAATAAAATAATCGAGGCGCAGCGAGGGTCAAGGTCTCTCAAGAAATCTCCATCTCGTAATGGGTTTCCGTTTCCTTGATAGAAACCTTTCTTTTGCATACCATTAAGGACAATTTGCATGCAATGAATGTACATGGATGTTCACTGGATCTAAAAATGATCATTTGGCGTGCAGCTTTTCGTTACGTTTCACTCGCACTACGATTAATGCTTTTTTTCTTGCAGTTCTTTTTAGTTAGAACCCCATTTTGAGAACAATCAAATAAAGGGCAGTCTTGAAAACTAGCCAATCTTGCAGACAATTGATTCATAAATCATATAAAACCATAGTTTCAGCATTAAAATTCTTAGCATGCAAGTATTATTAAACCAAATATCAAAATCGAGGAATATGATTTCCGATCATGGACAGACATCGTTATTTTTCGGTATATTTAAATATTGCGAGGGTATATTTCCAAGGGTCTGTCGGCATATTTGATCCATAATTCCGCGGTTACACTTTATACTCAGCTGGACGCAAAATAAAATAAACCGAAAACTATAATAAAAATGAGTCAAAATATCTGCCTTTTGGGCCGCAAGAGCAATGGCCTCAACATTCTGAACATATCCAGAAAAGGTAAGTGTTGTGGAGCATAAGTGTGGGATCGAAGCATAATCGAAGTGTAGGCGACGCACTTGTTGGACTTTGGTTGTCCGGCAACTGTGGAGAGAGAAGAATGTGAAAGGGGCAAAGTCCAACATAATCGGCTGCTGTGACGTCTGATGCTTATCATAAGTAGACTTGACTTGGCCATGGCATAACTTGATCACCCATACAATGCATAATAATAGCAAACTTTTATTTGAATATAGTTCAATGCAGGGCATTGTCGTCCGCCGTGGCGGCACCTCAGCCCAAGCAAAGAAACGGTCAAAATATTGTGCTGGTTGATGGTGTCCGCACGCCCTTCTTGACGTCCGGAACCTCCTACTCGAAACTTATGCCACACGAATTGGCCCGACACTCTCTTCTGTAAGTTCTGCATTTAAATATTTCTGGCTTTTTGACTCTAATAAACCTCCAAAGATCGCTGTTGCAGAAGAATCGATTGGACAAAGAGCTCATCGACTACATAGTCTATGGCAGCGTTATCCAAGAAGTGAAGACCTCGAATATCGCACGCGAGGCAGCACTCGCAGCTGGATTCAGCAACAAAACACCCGCGCACACGGTCACAATGGCTTGCATCAGCTCCAATGCGGTAATCCCGCAATCCCGGTCATTCCTTTAATTTCATCGTAATTCTCGAAATTCCACTCTTTGCAGGCAATAACCACCGGCATGGGCTTGATTGCGACCAACACATACGATGTCATTGTGGCTGGCGGCGTTGAGTTTATGTCAGATGTCCCCATTCGCCACTCACGCAAGATGCGCGGCCTCATGCTAAAGGCGAATAAGGCTAAAACTCTGGGCCAGCGTTTGGCTTTGTTGTCAACATTCCGACCTGGCTTTTTGGCTCCCGAACTCCCAGCCGTTGCGGAGTTTTCGTCTGGCGAGACAATGGGACATTCGGCGGATCGTCTGGCATCCGCATTTAATGTTTCCCGCGCCGAACAGGACGAGTACGCCCTGAGATCGCACACGCTGGCAAAGCAAGCTCAGGAGAAGGGTTACTTCACGGATCTGGTTCCGTTCAAGGTGCAAGGCATCGATCAGGTGGTGGACAAGGACAATGGCATTCGTGTGTCCACTCCCGAGAGCTTGGCAAAACTTAAGCCCGCTTTTGTGAAGCCCTACGGAACCGTTACCGCCGCAAACGCCTCATTCCTAACCGATGGTGCCTCTGCTTGTCTGATCATGACCGAAGAGAAAGCGAAACAGCTTGGCCTGAAACCGAAGGCCTTCCTACGCGATTTCCTGTACGTGTCCCAAGATCCCGTCGACCAATTGTTGCTGGGTCCCGCCTACGGCATTCCCAAACTCTTGAAGAAAGCCGGCGTCACTCTGAAAGACATTGATTCGTGGGAGATCCATGAAGCGTTTGCCGGTCAAATTGTGGCCAATCTGAAGGCCTTGGATTCGGATTGGTTCTGCAAAACATATCTGGGCCTGAGCGAGAAGGTTGGCTCCCCAGACCTGACCAAATGGAACAACTGGGGCGGCTCCCTGTCCATTGGCCATCCCTTTGCCGCCACTGGTGTCCGTCTGTGCATGCACACGGCCAATCGGTTGGTGCGCGAAGATGGCAAACTTGGTGTGGTCGCAGCTTGTGCAGCCGGCGGCCAGGGCGTGGCCATGCTTATCGAGCGCTATCCTGGCGCAACAGCCGACTGAAATCGAAATGAAATCAATAAAGGAAAGTTGCAGTTTGACTGCAGTCTGATGCCTTAGCTTTTATACACTTAAAACTATGTCTACGAGTAAAGAAATTTTGAAGTTATATATATGCTCGTTTAATTCCTAACAATGACGCAAATAATCTACAAACAGGAAGACCGTTCAGTCTTAATCGGTCTCGTACAGTTCCTTCTGCTTTAGCTTTGTTTGCAGAATGTCGTTCTCGTTGTATGACAGATGCAGCGGGGGTATGAGTGCACATGCCACCATTCTGCTCTCAGCATTTAGAAAGTTAAAGGTAGCACAGGCCTGCAACAAAGTAGCGAATAATATAGAGTGCTCTGAGCTAGACTGCATGCAAACTGCATACCTGTTCCGTTCGAAGAACTTCCACGTTTATTTTGTATTTCTTCATGAACTCTACGATCCTCTTGGACAGCGTTGGCGTTGGGCTTTGGTCTCCAATGCCAATTATGAGCACATCTATTTTGGGATCCAGAGTGGGGAACAAGCTGAGGCTTTCCTCGTTGATGTCCTCGAACGTGTCCACATTCCAGGAAAGAACCGACCTGGAACCAATTTCATGTGAATGTTTACATAATTCGACCGCCATTGATTGTGAGTTCTTCTGGTTGGAAACTTACCTAGGAAACACACTGATTGGACCAATTAGAACCATGTCGTTGTTCAGCCTGAACCCATATTGACTATAGCCGGTAATCATAAGTCCTAGGTCTGTTTCTGTGTTGAATATTGAGACTTTTGTTTTGCCATCGTAGTCGTAGGCTTTGCTGAAGTTAACAGCCAGGCCGGTGTGCAGCTTCCGGCAGCAGCCGGATCCATGTGGCAAGAGGAGACTGCGACTTCTTTGCGCAATGCTCCTTAAGGTTTGTGCAATCATAATTAAGCTATTTAGCAATTGTTTAAAACCAAAACAGATGTATATTTCCACGATAAGTATGACCATGTATCGAGCTGGCCGGGATATTTCGGTATATTTTGATGTCGCAATCGAGGTGAAGGTATTTTTGCAGCATATCGGTATTTAATTCCATTTATTACAACTCCGTGTGCTTTTGGGCAAGATTTTCTTATTTTTATTTATTATATATATATATATATTGTTGTTAATTGCGCATAGTTACGCTAATAAGTGTCTGCGAAACGTCAACAGAGAGGCAGAACAGCCGAAACAAGATGTTTTGATAG